TTCCTCGCTCATTCCTCTACATCTCTTCTGGCCTGTGTTGACTCCTCTCCTAATGCTTTAATGTTCCCTTCAAACCCTCTACATCTCTTTTTATCTGTGTGGACTCCTACTCTCTTCTTCTGAGGCCTTCATACACATGTTTGCCATACTGCCTGTAAAAGACTATAATGTTTTTTTGAGTTAATTAACACTTAAATGACATTTCGTACCCAGTCCCTGGCCAGAACGGTAAATATTTAGTATGTCGGCCCCACTTGATTAGCGGTTTTTGTTACATTAGGCTCAGCTCCAACTCCCGTAAAACAATCATTCTGTATTCTTTTTTGGAGTTAGGAGTAGACCTAAAGCTCGTGCTTCATCTTATCTACAATAACAAGCATATTTAGAAGGTAAATAAATCATCAATCCTTCTGTCAATCTGAGATATTCTTTATATACACAGTAATAAACAAAACTTGTGTTGCATAAAACACAAGTTCAGTGCGGAGGCATGCGTCTTTCACCCTAAGCTAACAAGCTAGTTATGTGTGGGTTTCAATTAAAAGTATGCTTATTTAAATACAGTGTTGTGTTGTGAAATTAATTTGTATTATGTTTGTATTATTCTTCTATAACTAATATAGAATACGTACTTAGTTTGGTATATTCGCATAATATTTTTCAAACTTTCATGCAGTTTCTTGTGTAATTAATCGCGTCTCAGTGTGTTAATCCTTTTACACAAGTAAAAACTACATACTTTCTCAAAAACTCAGCCAGTTTTGGTAACACAACAACGAGTTGTCAATAAAGAACTTTATATGGCCACCTGTTTTCATCTTCTGCTTGACGGTCCTGTACCTGCATTTTGCGAAACCTTTTCTGTAGCACATTAGTAAACCTGACTACCACAGGTGTACAATTGAACACGAAGATTGTGCATCAACCTATACGAATGTGTTTTGTTTTTTAGCCCACGATGATTGTGTTATTTTAAACATGAACCTGTGTTGTAGCCATTCAAACACCAGACTCGTGTTAAACAGAGCCGACCCAATGCAACATTGTGGCCTGTGCAAACTTTGTATTCGGTGCCACTTTCCCTGTAAAATTAACAAGAACTGTTAATTGCAATGTCGATTTTCGCGCCCGTCGGGGTGGCCCCTCTTGGAAATTTTGGGTTATTAATTGCGGCTCACAGAAGAGGTCAGTGTTTTATGAAGAAATTTCACCTCATAGCTCAGTCATTTCTTGTCCGATTTGAGATCAAAAGGCAGTTTTGGACTCAGGGGGTCAGGCCCTTTCGATTGGTGTATCTGGTCATTCTCAAGGTCTCATAAATTAATTTACTCTAATCCTGAATTAAAGAATTTCAAGTGCCGCGACTACTGAGGATTCCTTCTTGTTTAAATTCAATAATGGAAGAATAGGGGCTACATTAAAACAAAGTTGTGTCGTAAATTTATACAACTCCTGAACTTAAAAAAAAAATTCTCTCACGAAAAAAGGTTATACCTCTGTTTCGTTACACACATCTCCTGCCCACGAAGAGTCACAAGTCGCCCAGGGAAGTTGGCTTGACATAGAGGCGATTAGGTAAAATATTGACATGGCCATTAAATAATTGTAGAATATTGTAAGGTAGCTTGTGGAAATTACCTGAGCATATCCAAGTCCTAGAAGAAAAAAAACACTGTTAAAACAAGAACCTTATGTTACTCATAATAAAGTAAAGCAGTAATTTAAAACAACGGCGTGAAAAGTTTCAAAGTAAGATAAATAAATATACAGTAGGCTACAATGAAAATGTACATATGAATAAAAGTTAAAACAATAATTACAATAGCACAAATAAGCTCTTAAGTATCCAAAAGCAAGCAAACTAATAGTTATTTTGTGAAAATAGTTAATTATTTCAAGAAGGTATTTGTTTTCTTTTAACAGCAAAACTATATGATCGTCAATCTGCACGGTGCCCACCAATGGTATTAAAATCCAATTTTGTAGTCATATAAGAAACCAAGTTTACCGGTGAGCCACCAGGGGAATATTTCGAGAAAAAAGTTAACAAAGAATAGTAAGCAAAAGTTATTAAACAGAAACTTAACACATGTTATACAATTTGAAAAAATATACAATTCAAAGCTTCTTTAACTTATTGTGTACACAATACTATAAAAACCATACATAAAATATATAGAAGAATAAAAATCAAGGCAATTACAATCCGTTCAGAAAAATTTAAAGTTGAAATGAACAGTACAAGATATTCTACTATAAAAACCATACATAAAATATATAGAAGAATAAAAATCAAGACAATTACAATCCGTTCAGAAAAATGTAAAGTTGAAATGAACAGTACAAGATATTCTAACTGTGCAGAGTTCGTGTTAATTTGTTATTAACATATGACACGTGAAAAATCTAGAGATATTTACACTTAATACAAATCGAACTCAAGATTTTTAACTGTTCAAAGTTTGCGTTAATTGTTGTTATTAACACATAAGTATCAACATAATGTATTATCTCGAACAATGGAACAGTTTGTGTAATAATATATTAACATAATGTATTATCTCAAACAATGGAACAGTTTGTGTAATAATATATCAACATAATGTATTATTTCGAACAATGGAACAGTTTGTGTAATAATGTATCAATATAATGTATTATCTCGAACAATGGAACAGTTTGTGTAATAATATATTAACATAATGCATTATCTCGAACAATGGAACAGTTTGTGTAATAATGTATCAACATAATGTATTATCTCGAACAATGGAACAGAGCTCATCAGGCCGGTAGGGTTGACAGTATACAAATTCTCGCTGTTTATATCAGTTATTTATGAGACATCAAATATATTGACGTAACAAACGATCACGATTAGATACATGATTAGATATTACAAAGCAAAAGGTTCAAAACAACAGTAATTTGACCGAGAAGAAACAAAGTATTTTCAATGTGGTTATATTATTATTAAGAAAGAGTCTTACTTGAAGTACAACTCGGTCAATGAAATCCTCTTCTCCGTGTTATTAGAATCACAAGGATCACTTCGGTTCAGTAACTGCAACAAAACATAAATACATTACCTTAAACATCGTATACTATGAAGAAAACGACCATTATTACACAAACTGTTCCATTGTTCGAGATAATACATTATGTTGATATATTATTACACAAACAAGATCACTCAAGATAATGAAAAATGAAACAGTATTTATATTATTTATTTATCCTGCTTCCTATATTTTTTGTGGTAATTTCGACTATTTGTAAAATTCTGCGAATAAGTTAGAATAAGAAGCCTAGCATTCATGTTGTGTGCATAGCAAGTTTGATATAGGCAGGAAATTTTCTTTACCCTAGTGTTCCATACTGTTTTTCCACATTCCATGTTGTGATCAGAAATGCTAATCTTGATCAAAGTTTTCATGACTTTGGTATTCATAACGAGAACAACCACCAAATGCCTGTTACGTGTATACTAGAATCAGTGTTTTAATTAAATATGCTAATAAATGAATTTTGTTTATACTTATGTCTCTTACTCAGGAACTACGTTCTACATCTGTCCAGTGGATTACAAGAGGTCACCATGCTCAACTGGAAAATGTGTTTGTGTTTAATAGGAGCATGGACAATAGTCTACTTATGTGTCATTAAAGGAGTCCAGTCATTGGGAAAGGTTAATTCCAACGCTCAAAAGAAGTTAACTAACTGAAAAATGTTAATTATTATAACTGAGATAATTATAACTTATTTTCATTGTATGAGAGTTACATTTATGTGTATATTTGTAAACAAAAGTCGAAAATTTACGTCCATTGTTCCAAGGCTGATTTCGAGAACTCTTTAACCTGAAGAATAATGATAGTACCATTAGCAACAACAAAAGAAAACTGAATAGTGGTTAAGTACATAACATGTAGTATAAAAGTCTGTTGTATCAGAAATAGATAGCCAAACATAGACTTGGAGAAGCACATAACATGTAGGACAAAAGTTGGAGGATAGTGTCTGTTGTATCAAGAAAAGATAACCAAACGTAGACTTGGAGAAGCACATAACATGTAGTACAAAAGTTGGAGGATGGTGTCTGTTGTATCAAGAAACGATAGTCGAATGTAAACTCGGAGAAGTGCTTAACATGTAGTACAAAAGTTGGAGTATAGTGTCTTTTGTATCAGAAATAGATAGCCAACCGTAGACTTGGAGAAGCACATAACATGTAGTACAAAAGTTGGGGGATAGTGTCTGTTGTATCAAGAAAAGATAGCCAAACGTAGACTTGGAGAAGTACATAACATGTAGTACAAAAGTTGGGGGATAGTGTCTGTTGTATCAAGAAAAGATAGCCAAACGTAGACTTGGAGACGTGCTTAACATGTAGTACAAAAGTTGGAGGATAGTGGCTGTTGTATCAAAAAAAGATAGTCGAATGTAAACTTGAAGAAGCACATAACATGTAGTACAAAAGTTGGAGGATGGTGTCTGTTGTATCAAGAAAAGATAGTCGAATGTAAACACGGAGAAGTGCTTAACATGTAGTACAAAAGTTGGAGGATAGTGTCTGTTGTATCAAGAAAAGATAGCCAAACGTAGACTTGGAGAAGTGCTTAACATGTAGTACAAAAGTTGGAGGATAGTGTCTGTTGTATCAAAAAAAGATAGTCGAATGTAAACTTGAAGAAGCACATAACATGTAGTACAAAAGTTGGAGGATGGTGTCTGTTGTATCAAGAAAAGATAGTCGAATGTAAACTTGAAGAAGTACATAACCTTTATTACAGCTGACTATAGTGGTAACATTCGTTCATTACATATCCTACAGTAAGAAAGTTGATTTTAAAGGTAGGGATCTAGTTAATAGAAGTAGCTGAACTAATTTTAATTATCACAGTTAGCATTGTGCATTAATAATATGTTATTATATGTTAACCTTTCTCAATACGATAAAGTTCGTTCAGTTATGTAATTAATCTTGTCCTAACACTAACCTTCTTTGTCGACAGCTTTTTCTATTGGTATGCACAACTCGTGAGCCAGAGTCCCTAGCACGGCGAATACCACAGAACCTGCTAGTATGCTGGTGAAAGTATCCAAAATGCTAATGATGATAGCGTCTCTGCAATTAAATAGTTGAAGTCAACGAAACTCTGGGTAAAACACAATAGACTGTTTTCTTTTTATTGACATCTAATGTACTAAGTGTGTTAAGTTTGATTTGTTTTCCTACATGTGCAGAGTTATATAGTTTTATCAGATTATCGAACTTCTATCAATATTGATCAAAATATATCGATTTAGCCCATGTTTACTATTTCTTGTGTGTATGTGTAAGCCGTATTCTAAGAGGCTGCTGTAGTAGATTATTTATAACCAAATGTTTATTTAAGACGTTTTTATTTCTGGCAGTTTACGACTGTTTAACAATTAAAAAAGAAACTAAAACAGATATTATAAACGAATTTGTTATACAAAAAATGATAATTTTCTACTGCATATTTTAATTCTTGTGAGTAACGTCAAGCAAAGGTTTATTGACATGAGATATAAAAAATATTTAACCTATTTACGTTGTTTCTGAAATCATTGTAACTGGAATACATGACTAAGTTTCCGTAACCAACCGCTAAAGAGAAGAAAGACTGCTCGCACGCCCGGTACCACACCTGGAAAATAGGACAAATTTTGATTGTTGTGCTTTGCAAGTTCTATTCATGTCACGATACCTGTCACTAAACGGTTAAATTCAAAAATTTACAAAAATAAAAAATTTTAATTTCTGATTTGATTTTACTATGCCCTAAAAATTTGTTGACTAAATAAATTTCATTCGATACAAATGATCTAGTAAACATAAGGTTCGACTTTTGTTGTTCGACATTATTTATATTTAATATCTGAACAATTCATATAAAGTTTTAAGAACCGAGTACAACAGGTTAACCATCAAAGATATAAAAGCTCTTAGGGGTTGAAGACTGACATTGTAACAAGCGTAATAAGGATTCAAAATAAAGCTAATGTTTGTAAGCACTTTATTCCGAAATGGCCCATTATGGATTTTCAGATACTGAAATGATAGTAAATGACACCTTCGTCTTAGTAGCAATGCGTTTTGAATTTAGGTTTTAAAGTAAGATCGATCTTATTATTGTATAAGAATTCATCATATCGGGTGGGTGAAAGTCTTAGTTGAAACATCATAAGAAGAAGGAAAATATTTAAAAACTTCACTCTTAACTGACCTCATACCAAAGCAATAGCAGCAGCAACTCAGATTATTGTAGAAATTAAAATGTTACACAACTGTTTATACTCTTCTTAACCCCGAGAGATATTATATAACTTTCACCGTTGTTTCTTAATATGGATGCAGAATTACGATAATAGAGTATTCATAATATTAAAGCTTTGAACAATAAAATTAAAATCTCCCAACTGTCATGATATAAAAGACTGTTTAGTTTAGGTATTATTAATTAATTATTTTGTGAGTTAATATTTCAGGCAATTGTTGAAAGTTGTGTTTATAATTCATTGATGTTGAGACTATCGAATGTCGCGTGCAATACATTGACGTCGAGAATTATAGCGATTTCTAGAAGGCGGGCAGATGATTAAGTAATAAACATATAAATAGTGTGAGACGAGCGGAAACAGCAGACAGACAATAGCAGAAGAGAGTCGCGGCCAAGGAAAAGTTCGGCGTGAAGTTAACTGCAGTAGAAGTGATAGGCCTAACGACTAACATAGGCCTAATGTTTAATATGTTAGGAGTAAGACTAACAGTAGAAAAAGATATAACAAGAAGAATATATTCCGTCAAAGCGTAGTTATAAAGTAATTGAATCAGCCTGAGTGTACTTTGACAAAGGAACAGAGGATATTTTGAAGAAAGAAGACCAAACGATTACTGGAAGAGAAGTATACGATTGCGGTAACTCGCACCCCAATTATAAGTGAATTATACACATAATATTAAGTGTGATAGACATGGAAAAAGGTAGTTCGACTTGTCAACTGAAATTCTAAAGTAATTGAATAGGCCTAATTGGACTTTTGACAACAAGAAGAGAACCACAAAGTGTTTATAATATACCTATGATCTCTATAGTGTAAAGAATTTGTTGTACATACGAATATATATATTATTTTGAAAACAAATGGAATGCATGTTGTTCATTTATCGTTGAATTTATCGCCAACAAGTCACAGACGCTTACTGTAAAAGAAGCTTAACAACAACAACACAGTATATAATTATACTGTTAAAAAGCCTAAGTAAAAGCGTTTAATTGACAATTGGCGAACATAACATCTGACACCAACTCACTAATATTAAAGCTTTGAACAGTAAAATTAACATTTCCCAACTCAGTTATATTAAAGCTTTGAGCGGTAAAATTAACTTTTTCAACCCACTAATATTAAAGTTTTGAACAGTAAAAATTAACATTCTTCAACTCACTAATATTAAACTTTGAACGGTAAAATTAATATTTCCCAACTCATTAATATTTACCAAATCACTAATATTAAAGCTTTGAACGGTAAAATTAATATTTCTCAAATCACTAATATTAAAACTTTGAATGGTAAAATTAACATTTCCCAACTCACTAATATTAAAGATTTGAACAGAAAATCAACATTTCTCAACTCAGTTATATTAAAGCTTTGAACAATAAAATTAACATTTCTCAACTCACTATTATTAAGGTTTTGAACAGTAAAATTAATATTTCTGAATTCAGTTATATCAATTCTTTGTAACATTTCTCACCTCGATTTTCAGAAGCTTCTCCCAGTCTGGCGTGAAGAAGTACTTAATGCCTTGTGAAGCACCATCGAAAGTCAGGGCCACCACCATCAAAGCAATTAAAACGGTGTAGGGGAAAATAGCCGTGAAATACGTAACCTAAATGCAAATTATGGCACAGAAAAATATATAAGTACGTTTAGAAATACGTAAAATACAACAGAAAGGTTAAGGTTATTATATATCGTACAGAATAAACACACACGTATAGAAAACGGTTTTGAAATACGTAACTTATATATAAGTTGTGGCACAGGAAAATATGTACGTACATTGTGAATTTCGTAACCTATACGTCGGTTATGATACAGAAAAAATATATACGTATGGAAAGATGGTTGTGAAATACATAATGTGCAACAGAAATTTTGAGGTTAGGATATACCATACAGAATGAAAATATACAGAGCAGACGGTGGTTGTGAATATGTAATATAGAACATATACAATAGAATATATACAGCAAAGGTAGGTGTGATAATGCAGGAAGGTTGATGTGTAAGGGTGTAAAGACTTAATTGTCAACGTAGAATTAACAGTACATGTATCTGAGACCTGGATGTCAAAAATGAAGATAGGGTACCTAGAATTTGGGTATCACTGAAAAAAATGTGAGTGGATGAATTTATAATTTGGGTATTACTGTGAATATAAAAGTAGCTATATCTAGAATTTAGGTATTATTGTGAATAATGAACGTGGGTGTGTTTATAATTTGAGTTCAGACTCATTTATATGGAAGGGCACAGTAGCTTGTCCTTCGAGAATTGTCCTTAGCCCCACCAAGAAAAAATACAACTAAGTACATTGAGAACTGCTTATAGGTTTACAAGATAAAATTAGAAAATAAGTTTTGTTAATAATGTTGTTTTTGTTACTTTTTTTTTCAGTTGAATTACAAGAGCAAATTTTTTATACTTACATCAAAATACGTATGAATATTGTATTCTCAAAATTGGGCCAATAGAGCCTCTTATCAAGATGGGATCACTTGGAATATCTCATAAAGATTGGCCAATGAGGCCCTCTCATCAAGATTCCTTCTTTCTTTCAATAAACAAAAAAGAGGTATTTACAAAAATCGAAGGGCCCATCGTTTATCCTGACCTGAAATGTGGGTGATGCCCCTCAAACACGACGCCCCTGATTTTGTAAGTGTGCGTGTACAAGCATTAAAAATACATTTTAAGTTCAAACCAGACGACCCTCTAGCGATGTCCATGTATAATTTGTGCAGTCTTCGTTTGCGCTTTCTTTCCCTTCGAATTTAGTAATGCGTATAGTTTTTTACTTTTAGAATTGGCTCAATTTATGTAGTTCTGATTTGTTATTTCATCTTTTTTTTTCATTCGGGTTTGTACTCTTTCGTTATTTTTAATGCGTTGCTCATTTTTTCTTTCTATTAGTCCATGTTTTGAAAAAGCCTTAGTGAAATTCTTTCCTATAGTTTTTCCACAATTTAAGAGTTTTGTTATATCGATGATGCTAAACATTATACATGTACACTGTCCTACCAATAGTCATGGGACACACCTCTGATTGCAGGAAAATGGTTGTGACAACGAAATATGCAAATAGTTTGGCCTATAAAGGTGATTATCGGTTCGATCGGAAGTCGTTTTGAACATATACGCCGAGCAACGAGCACACAGAAATAGCTAACAGAGTTTCAGAGTGGAAGGATAGTTGTATGTAATTTGTGGAAATGTCTGGACGTGCTATTGCGCAAAAATGAAACATTCCCAGGTCGACAGTTGGCAACATGCTGAAGAAATGGTAGGCATAAAATACTGACTGACAGGAGCCAACTCGCCTTGAGAAGGCTGGTTACCTCATATCGTCGTCAGACCTTAAATAATCTGTGTTCGGAGATGCGAGCAGCCACAGGCAATCCTATAAGTGTTTCCACGACACGTTGAGAGCTGTATGGCATGAATTTTTACGGAAGAGCTCCAGCCCACAAGCGGTTGACAACAAAAACAATTGTACAACGTGGACTGGCATGGAGCAAGGCACACAGGGGATA